CTACCCCCCCTGCGTACGGTACATGGTGCGTGTGGCGTCGCCCGCGCCGGAGCGGCCCTCTGCTAGGCAGGCCCGGGCCCGGGAGCAGGGGAGAAGAGGGCTTGACACGGACGCGAGCCCCGGCGCCCGGACACGAGAGCCAGGCCGTTCGCGCGTCTCCCTGCCCTCGGGGCCATCCGAGCCGCCGGGCGCAGGGGGCCGGGCCGGTGAAGCACTGGTCGCCCATTCCGGGGGGGGGGGGGGGGCGGGCCGGGCCGGGCCGGGCCGGCAGATCTGCCTGGACACACAACGCCCGGGGGGGGGAGAAAAGCAGGGGCGAAACGGCCGCTTTCACAGGAGCACCCACCCTCGGCCGGCCGTCGCCCCGGCCCCGGCCCTGCCCCCGCCGCACTGAGCCCCGAAGAACGGGCCCCGGGGGCCGGCGCCGGCGGGCGCGGGGGCATTACGTGCATTCGACGCACGGATGGACTAAGCATGTAAGTATGCGGGGAGCCGCCGGCGCTTTCGGGGCGCCCCGGCGCCCGGGCCTGGGTGACTTGATCCTGGTCCTAGACGGCTGCCCGGGGGGGGGGGGGGTCGAGGAAGGCGCATCTCCTCGTCCCTCCCGCCTGCTTCTGTTCCCCGCCCCCCTCTGGGCGGGGGGGTGGGGGGGGGGAGCATGCGCGCCCCCAAGGGGGCCCAGTCGGGTGCGGGCGCCCTCGCGCCGGCGTCGGCCCGGGAGCGAGAATGCGCCCCCTCCGGTGGCGGTCCGCTCGGGGCCGACCCCCGGCCCCCGGCATGAGCGCACCCGTCGTGACACATACCGGGGGCCGGTGTGTTCGTTCGAAGCGCCGGTCCCGCAGCCGCGGGGCCCCGGGGGTCCCGCACACACACACACACACACACACACACATCCGGTCCCCCCCCCCCGGGGAGGGGGGGGGGTGGGGGAGAGGGGGCAACCGGCCGGCCGGGCTGGGATCTCACGGCGCAGGGCGACGCGTGTGCGTGCTCGCACGCCCGCCCCCCGGCGGGGGAGACCTGGAACAATAATAGCACGGCACAAGTATGTGTTCGCTCGGGCCGGGCCGGGCCGGGCAGATCCGGGTCTCGCGCGCAGGGGCGACACGCGCGAGCGTCCGGTGGCCGGAGGCGCCGGGTGGCAGGGAGCCCGGGGGGGGG